AATAGAGAAAGATGTCAGAGCTCATTCTGAAGTCTGCTTGAAAAAAATTGGAAAATAACAAATTAAGAATGATAAATCAAGTTACCTTTAGAGTGGAAGAATCTGGAAAACCCGATTTTTGCCAAGTGATTAATGCTAACCTTACCAGTAATGGAATGTTGGCATCACGTGTGTCTTGATGTGATGTGTTGTGTGGGACAGAGAGCCAGTATATTGTAACTCTACCAAAAATGCATGAATCTAATACTGAGACAAACACAGGACAGAGAGATATCCTACCAAAAAATACCCCCCAAAAAAACCCAAAACCAAAAATTAAGAGAAAAAACTTGACTATTCAAAATATGTCAATCATGAAAGAGAAAGAAAGATGAGAAATCAATTCATGTTAAAAAAGACTGAATGAAAGGTATGACCCTGGGTTAGGGTCTTCCTCAGAAAAAGGAGATTTAAATTAAATACTTACATAACATATATATTTATATAATATCAAATTTACCTAGGTACCTATCCACACATATTTTCTCTATATCTCCACATATATCAATATGTATAAGTGCATGTAAACACATTTATAAGAGATATATGTACATATATGCATATATGTGGGTTTTTGTTTATTTATTTATAGTCTAAAAATAAGGACTCTTACATAACCTTTACACAGTTATCAATTATAGAAAATTTAGCACTGGTAAAATAAACAGAGAATATTATTTAACTTTCTGCCCCTATAAAAAATTTGCCAGTTGTCCCAATAATGCTCTTTAGAGCAGGGCTTTACAAACTATAGCATATTCACCATCTGTTTTCACAAGTGAAGTTTTACTGGAACAAAACCATGCCCATTTGTCTACATGTTGTCTATGGCTGCTTTTGCATTACAACCACAGAGTTGAGTAGTTGCAACAGAGACCATATGGTCCATAAAGCCTAAAATATTTATTATCTGGCTCTTTATAGAAGTAGTTTGCCAACCCCTGCTTTGGAGCTATTTTACTCTGGATCCCTCCAGAGTTTTGTATTACATGCAATCGTTGGGTCCTTAACATCTTCTTTAATCTGGAATAGTTTTCCATCTTTATTTGATTTTTTTTCCATTATTTTTTGAGGTCACATTGGTTTCCATCACTGTATATGATTCAGAGGGATAGGTTCATACCTACTCAGATGTACATCATCATACCCCTCCAGCCCCAGAGCACATCTTTTAACCTTGACATTTTTGCAGTGTATAAGCCAGCTATTTTGTAGAATTCTACTCAACATGGGTTTGTCTGATGTTTCCTCCTGATTTGATTTAGGCTATTCATTTTTGGCAGGAGCATCACTAAAGTGATTTTTTTTTTTAAATGAGAAGTTAAATAATAATGAATCTATGTTATCTGATCACGTGAGCCAAAATAGAGTGGACAGTAGGAAATTAAAAGAAGACAAGTTGAACATGAAGATCATCTTCTCTTAAGTGCTGTCAGCAACACTCGTGGCAACTACAGCAGGGGATAAGAAAGTTCCTAGAGCAGGTCATGTTCACATTTCCAAACACAGCATTTACCCACTGCCTGGATAGAGCTGATTTTTAATTAATTGAATAGAATGCTTTAGTGCAGTTTCAATTTTCCTATAAAGGCCACAACTTCTGGAGAACTTAGGAAAAAATCAAGAAGGAAAGAAAAGGAAAAGAAAAGTGATGGTAAAAAAACGAGAGAACTAAAGCCAAAACATATCAGCTGTAAAAATAAAGCAAATTATTAAAGAGTAATGTCTTAGGTAGGATCAAAACACAAATACAAAGTAGAATATAACAATTTGTAAATAGATAAGCCTGAAAAAAAAAAAAAAACATTACGGATGGGACAGAGAGTTAAAAAGGGATTGTGTAAGGGGAAATAGGGAAAAGTTGGTGAAAAGGTACAAACTTTCTGTTATAAGATGAATGAGGTCTGAGGACCTAATGAGTAATATGGTGACTATACAATCTTTTTGTATTGTTTTTTAATTTTTTAAAAATACTTATATAAGCACTGGGTACAGTCAGAAGTGTGGAAGGGTGAGAACTCACCAGAGCCAGAGCAGGGAACAGAACAGGCAGACTGACGAAATACACTGCTGAGGGGAGCAGCAGGTGCGGCAGGAGAGGTCTGCTGTGCCATGTGGGACCCTTGCTGGTGGCCAGGGATCTAACCGGTGCTGCAAAGGCTGCAGGCAGCTTCGCAGCCCAGCACTCAACCGCTGTGCCACCAGGGGAGGCCCAGTCTTACTGTATTTTTGAAACTTGCTAAGAGAATAAAACTTAAATGTTCTTACCAAAAATTGGTAAATAGGTAATGGCTTTAGTGTAAGTTTTAATCAGCTAACTAACTTTCATAACATATATCAGATCATCACATTGCACAATTTAAATACCTTATGATTTCATTAGATACCATCACTTCTATAAAGATGGGAGAAATTTGAAAATTCTGTGATTAGAAAATTACAGAAGGGAAGAGCAGAAATAGATGAGGCAAATGAAAATGCAGAAAACAGATACAGCAAAATAATTATCAGGAAAACAAATGGAAGGGCAAAAGCATAAAAAGATACCAAAAATGTTATTTTACATTTAAAATGAATATCCCACAATGAAGATACGACATTCACGAAATGAATAATAAAACATTGAACAATGTAAAGGGAAAACTATTGGAAATCCAAGGACAGATTGAGAATGTCATCATTATAATGGAAATTCAAAACACAAATTTCAGTATGTCACATATCAAGAAGACAAAAAATTTGAAATATGATAAAGAGAACTTTATTAATGTTTTATTAATAGGTGTTTATCAAATACATAATGATAAAAATGCCTATAGAAAATTTGATATCAGATGTCCATGTAATATATATACTAAGAGAGCACATCCAGTACTAAAAAAGAAAGAAAATCTCACTGGTAAAAATTCCACAAGTCACAACTGACTAATTACAGTAAATGGCAACAATGCCCATTTAATAATTATAAAAACAACAGGTTTAAAATGAAATTATTAAAATTAAGCAAAAGCTTCAAACATTTATTTTTAACTTTTGGTTTTAATTGAAGTAGAGAACAATATTAACTTTAAATATTTTCTTCAAAACTAATTAGTATCAGTTCAGTGATTATACCACACAAAGCTATATTGAGGAAAATTCCTGCGATTATTTAATTTACTATTAAATATGAAAAATCTAATGAAATATTCAATTCTAGAAGCAAAGAACAATGAAAACTTCCTAGGCAGGCATAGAAAACAACTAATAAAAAAATTAATGAATTAGTGTAAGATGCAGTAAAATGGAGAAATAAAAGTCCTGATTCTTAGAAAGAAGCAACAAGGTGGATATATTACTGGAAATATAAAAATTTGCAAAGATTTGCAAAACTGTTTAACACTATGCGTGGAAAGTTGGGTATATATTCAGACATGGGAATAAGTGAAATGATTATTGGAATGCAATATTCCATTATAAGTTTAATAACATGCAGTTTATTTATAAATGGATCACTTCCTAGAAAAATGTGAATTACTGAAATTTATCCAAAGAAAGTTAAGAGAGATAGAAAATAATAAAAATTGCTGAAGAATTTCCTTCAAAGTAAATGTGCAAACAAAATCATTCTCTAAAAGAATTTTATCCAATATTATTTAAGCTGTCAAATATAAGAAATGAATTCAAAGTTTTCAAATTAATTATATAAAACTGATGCAAAACTTGGGAATATGACCAGAAGAAAACCAGCAACTCAGACTTTCTATGAATGTAATTATGTGTATGTATATTCAGAAATAAAAAAATTCAGAGCATTAAAATGATACAGATATGCAAATGTTTATCCCAATAGAGCATCAAGGCAAAGGAATTTTGAATTTTAGTAACCTTAGTGTTATTATTTTAGTGGGAAAAAAGTTCACTATAATTATCTCAAGAACAAAAGATTATATATTATTTTTAAAGTTTAATTTATATATTTCTTTACCTTACAGTAAAATTTTACTGCAACATAATTGACATACAGAAAGTGCATATTTGCAAGCATAACAGTATGAAGAAGAGATGCCATATAAATTTACCTGTGTCACCACTATCCATCTTGAGAAATAGAACATTAACAGCACCTCGAAGCCTTTCTCTTGCCTCTCTCAGTATTGACCCCACTAGGAAAGGAAATACTTTTCAGTGTCCCAACACCATAGATTAGGTTTGTCTATTTTTAACTTCACATAGGTAGAATTATATAATTCTATATAGTATATGAAAGAAATATATTTGATTTTTTTTTAAGATTTATTTATTTATTTTTATAAGTACTGGGTACAGTCAGAAGTACGGGAGGGTGAGAGAATTCACCAGAGCCAGAACGGTGAACAGAACAGGCAGACTGACGAAATACATTGCTGAGGGGAGCAGAGGGCAGCAGGAGAGGTCTGTGCGCCATGTGGGACCCTTCCCCGGCGGCCGGGGATCAAACCGGCGCTGCAGAGGCTGCAGGCAGCTTTGCAACCCAGGCTCAACCGCTGCGCGACCAGGGAGGCCCAGAAATATATTTCAATTCTTTTAATCAAAAATTTTTCTGTGAGATTCATTTGTTGCATGGAGTACTAATTTATCATTTTTCAACGCTGTGTAGTATTCTATTGTATAATATACCACTCATTTTATTGAGGTGACATTGTTTTACATCACTCTGTATGATTTAGGGGAATAGGTTTACATCTTCTTAGGTGTATGTCACACACCACACCTACCACGGAAGCACCAATGATATACCCCTTACCATATAGCTTTAGGCACTCTCCTCCCTTTGTTTCCATTTCATCCCTCCTCCTCTAGTAGATTCAATTCTGCAGTCATATTTCTAGGGTTTGTTTTGGTTTAGTTTTGTCAGTTTCTTTCTTTTGTTTCTCATTGTTTATATTCCACATTGGACTGAAATCATCACTATCTTTCTCTTTCTGGCTTATTTCACTTAGCATAATCCCCTCCAGTTCCATCCATGTTGTCACAAATGGTAAGTATTCATCCTTTATTATAGCTGAATAGTATTCTGTTATGTATACAGTATATATTATTTTAAAGTAAACTACTATAAATGTAAGTCCTCAATTTGAAATCAGTAACCATCATTATGTTTAAATGATGTAATAGTAACACTGCCAGCAGAGCCATAAATGTTCTCAGGTGCATTACTATTATATAAGATTGCTATAGCTAATACAAGAAGCCAAGATAAATAAATATGTTATTCATATAGGAAAATAAGAAAGGAACAAGCAATGGACTACATGGAAAATCAAAGTAACTTTTTTAACAACTTTAGAAACAGTGAATTTTTTTTTTGTTTGCTCATTTTGTTGCTTTAATCTCTCTATTTTTCTAAGTATCTGTGGCCAATAATTTAGAGAGATGAACTACTTTTACTTTTCCAGCAGGTGGCACTATAGTTGTAGATGTAGATTTTTGGCCTTTGTTGGTTCCACAGGTTCTGAGTCATTATCTTGTAGTTGCTGAGTCAGAGGGTGGGGAAGGGGTCTAGAGGAGTGGAATCATTGGTGCAAGCGTGTGTGTGTGTGTGTGTGTGTGTGTGTGTGTGTGTGTGTGTGTGTGTGTGTGTTGCGGGAGTTGGGGGAGTGGCTCATATTTTTGGTAGACTTATAGTCTAACTATCTACACAATTTACACAATCTGTGGCCTGTCAGCGCACTTCATAAGATCAGTACTTGTCCAAAGGGTTGAGGAGGGGAGTGCAGTACAGAGCATGGTCCTTTTTCTTTTCACTGTGAACTGGGCCTGTCATACACCATACATCAGTCAAAAGTGTATGGCTCCACACCATTAAGCTCTCCCTTTCCCTGTAAAATATTCTAAGGAAGCTAGTATACATATAATGATAGTTAATTTATCTGACAATTCAGAAGTCATTTGAAAATGACAAAAATCATCCTTTTCTAGTGCCAGATATTCCATAAAAATTTTATTAAGTAACATGCAAAATTCTTTTGAGCAAAACCATAAATTTTTATTGAAGAAAATAAACACTTTCAATGGACTATATAATGTAATCCTTATAACTAGCTTATAAGGTAGATATTATTATCTTTATTTCACAAATAAAAATTCAGAGGCTCAAAGTAATTCTGTAATTTGCCCAAAGTCACAGACTTGAACCATCATACATTACATTTTATTTTGGACCATAAAATAATGAAAACATGTAGTAACCAATATAGGAAAAGACAAGAGCAAATAATGAAGGGAAACCCTACAACATTCAACAAAGTATTTAGATTATATAAATGATGAGAAGATTATTTTAGTCACAGAGAAAATATTTCATGTCTTTTAAATTAAGCAATTGATCTACCACTAGAGGAAAGAATAATTTGGATGCTCATGCTATGGTAGACACACAAAAAAAATTTCTGATGGACTATGAGTTAAGAGATAAATGAAAATATGCATACAATTAAATAATGGTAAATATTGCTAGATATTAGACTAAGAAAACTCTGTAGGAATAACATCCAAAGGGCCTCCCCTGGTGGTGCAGGGGTTGAGCGCTGAGCTGCGAAGCTGCTCGCAGCTCTGTAGCACCGGTTCAATCCCCGACCACCGGCGAGGGTCCCACATGGCATGACAGACCTCTCCTGCTGTATCCGCTGCTCCCCTCAGCAGTGTATTTCATCACTCTGCCTGTTCTGTTCCCAGCTCTGGCTCTGGTGAATTCTCTCACCCTCCCATGCTTCTGACTGTACCCAGTGCTTGTATAAATAAATAAATAAATCTTAAAAACAAAAACAAAAACAAAAAAAATCTATTAAAAAAAAAGAATAACATAAAAGGCAAAATCCATGAAGAAAGTCATTAGATTATACTAAATCAAAATGGGAAAGTTATATAAGAAGAAACTCGGGCCTCTCAGGTGGTGCAAGGGGTAAGCACAGCACTGCAAAGTTATTTGAAGCCTCTGCAGCATGAGTTCAATCCCTCGTCTGCCAGGGAGCAACCCACTTGGTGCAGTAGACCTCTCCTGCCTCACCCACTGCTCCTCTCAGCAGTGTATTTCAGTCTATCGGCTTGTTCTGTTCCCAGCTCTGTCTCTGGTGAATCCTCTCACCCCCACATTTCTGGCCTGTACCCCAGTTCTTGTATGCCTAAAGAAATAAATCTTTAAAAAAGAAAAAAAGAAAGAATAGAAACTCACTATCAAACAATTACAGAAGAAGAAAACTAAAGACAATGCACAAGACAGTCAGAGTCCATGTAGTTAACATTGAAATAAAAGGAAAACCTATTAAAAATTTATACAAAAATGACCAACATGAAATGATCCAGCTAACATATTTTTAGTTATATTGTTAGGTAAAAACTAGAAATATGTGCTTACGTAAGTTTTCTCTTGAAAATATTGTTTATAAACTTCAACATTGAAGGAGGGAGGATTAAAACATCCAAAACTAGACTATCTGTACTCTGTCCTTTAAATTATGGTACACAAACATCACACAACATGAGGCAACTATTAAGAATACGATCACATTTTATATGTTATATATTATGTACAAAATGCAAAGTATATTTGAAAAGAGTTTTATGATTACTAATATATTAGTGGTAGTATATTGTTTTTTATGGGGTGATGTTCACAATATAATGCTACATTTTTTTAAATTATAGAACATCATGTTCAGTATGTTTTCGTCTTTGTGAGAAAAGCATCGTTGCAAGAAACATTTCAGATGGGTTTGAATTAAAATTATATCAGTAATTTATTTGGAAATATGGCTGAATTTTTACTTTTTTTTAATATCTTTGGCTTTTATGATCACATGTGCTCAGCAGTCTCTATGAGGCGAGGCGGGTCTGCCAGTCATTATGGGCAATGCAGCACTTAGCAAAACAGACATTCTCTTTGTCCTAGGGAGCTTTTCATTTCAGTGGGGAAGCACTGTAAACAGATGAACTGATAAGTTAGCAAGGCAACTGATCACAAATGAGATTGGAGATACGAAAGTGCCGGTAGGGAGTAACTAGGTACTACTTCACACAAATAAGTCAGTATGGGTGACTGATGGACTAAGGACAAGATGATAGAAAAGAAGCCTGGAAGTTAAGCTGAATCAACCATGGCAAGTATTTTTTTTTTTTTTTTCAGATTTTTTTTTTTTATGCATACAAGAACTGGGGTGTAGACCAAAGGGGGGGGAGAGGATTCACTAGAGTGAGGAGCAGAACAGGCTGCTTGATTGAATTACACTGCTGAGGGGAGCAGTGGGCAAGACAGGAGAGGTCTGCTGTGCCATGTGGGTTAGCTCCCTGGCCAGAGATCGAACTCATGCCGCAGTGGCTGGCACTAGCTTGATAGCGCTGAGACTTAAACCTGTGCCACCAGGGAGGCCCCCAACCATGTCAAGTATTGAGGGAAAAGGATGGAGGCCAATTGAATAGTGACTGTGAAGTCTTGGGAGGCAGTGATTAGATGTGTTACAAGATGGGGAAGGTGGCAATGGTTGCTCAGTGTACACGGTGTAGTGGAGACTTAGGTCAAGACAAAGAGTTTAGTTTTTATTCTAATTTGATAGAAAGTCTTTTGGCATCACACAGGATCTGGCTCATCCTGATACTTTGTGGAGAAGGCTGTGATGCAGTGGACAGAGTGGCCATGTTAGCCAGGAGGCCCTGCAGTGGCTTCTTACTATTCCCTGAGCTCTGCAAGCATGACTTCTACTTAGGAAAGGCACTTGACTCCTCCGTCTGCCTGGTGTGCTTTCGCGAAAAACCCGTAAGACTGTTTCCTCGCTTTTTAGCAGTTCTCTCCTTAACAGGGAAGCTATGCTGGCTACCTTACGTGAAATGGCCCTCCCTCACTGTCTAGGGCTTGTGGTTTGTGGCTGTGTTTTCAGTGCCTAGGATATTGCCTCACTTAAACAGTTCTCTTTAAGTAGTGGGGAGTTAGAATAATGTAGGGTAAGGGCTTTTCTGCCCTCCCGCCATCAGGATAGATGAGGGAACCCTGTGATCCTGAATGCATGCCTGATGGTGGGCACCTGAAGTGGGTACACCTGCTCTAAGACTGTGTTTTTAAGGGTGGCGTCATCATGGGGATGCCAGTAGAAGCTGAAACTAGAAGCTGAAAGCAGAAGCCGAGAGAAGGCCGGAGAGCCCAGAGTGAAGACTTGCTGGGGGCTGGGAGGTCTGTCAGCCTCCCGGCCCCCCAGCACCCCTGCCTGCCATATGCCTGGTGAACCCCAATAAAAATCTTGCAAAAACCACTGAGGACTCCGACTCCTCCTTTACCCGGTCTGCATGGGATCCTAGAAAACCTGCACCGTGTCCATTCCTGCCTCTACAAATAATTATTTCAAAGCATCTACTGAGTACATTTTGGGAATCAGAAACCACACAGAAGACAAAGAAGTTAAAAAGTCTCGAAAATAAAGCCATAAACTCGTGGAGGAAATAAATGAATGGAAGAGACTAAGTGCTAGGGAGCAGGGTTTATTGGAGGCCAGCGCAATGGAGGCTTGCCTCATTCTTAGCAGCATCTCATCAACCCTCACAGCAACGTAAAGTGGGCACATGACCTCCATCCTGAAGAGAGACATGGGGGACCATGTTGGGTTTCTGTCGGGGATCTGACATGATCAGGTTTGTATTCAGAAAGATGGCCCTGAGTGTTTCACAGTGCTGGGAGGGCAATGAGTTAGACACAAGGCAGCATTGCTAGCGTAGGGGCAGAAAGGGACAGAGCAGGATCTCTATGATTCTATGCAGAAGGGTGAAGGAGGAGTCGTGGAGCCCTCGGTGGCTTTTTCAGGCTTTTATTGGGTTTCTGCCAGGTACATGGCAGGCAGGGGTGCTGGGAGGCTGGCAGGCCTCCCAGCCCCTGGCGATTTTCACTGTTTCTGAGCTCACCAGCATTCTCTCGTGGCCTTGTTTTTCTCGTGGTTCTGCTTCACTCTGCTGGCGTCCCTGCAATGCCATCCTTATTAGCCCCATATTAGCC